GCAACAGAACAGAGAACCCATAAATCTACCCATGTATTTATAGAAAACTGATCCTTGAAAAGGGCACCAAGAACATACACTGGGGAAAAGACTGCCTCTTCAATAAATGGTGCTGGGAAAACTGGACATCCATATGTAGAAGAATGGAACTTGACCCATAATTCTCACATATACCAAAATCAACTTAAAATGAATTAAAAACTTAAATATAAGACCTGAAACTTTAAAACTCCTAGAAGAAAACATAGGGGAAACACTCCAGGATTTAGAACTGGGCAAAGACTTATGAATAACACTCTGAAAGGACAGGCAACAAAAGAAAAAGTAAACAAAAGGAATTATATCAAACTAGAAAGCTTCTGCACAGCAAAGGAAACAATCAACAGCATGAAAAGACAATCTACAGAATGGGAGAAAATATTTGAAAATTATGCATCCAACAAGGGATTAATATCCAGAATATAGAGAGCTCAAACAACTTTACAGCAAAAAACCCCAAATAATCCAATTTAAAAATGGGTAAAGGAGCTGAATAGGCATTTCTGAAAGATAGTCATACAAATGGCAAGCAGGCATATGAAAAAATGCTCAACATCACTAATCATCAGGGAAATTCAAATCAAAACCATTTTGAGATGTCACCTTACTCCAATCAGACTGGCTATTATAAAAAAGACAGAGAATAACAAATGCTGGCAATGATGTGGATATAGAGGAACACTTCTGCACTGTTGGTGGGACTGTGAGTTAGTACAGCCATAATGGAGAACAGGTTCCTCAAACAACTACAGATAGAACTACCATATGATCCAGCTATCCCACTACTGGGGATATATCCAGAGGTTTGGAAATCATCAGATCGAAGGGATACCTGCACTCCCATGTTTTTGCAGCTCTATTTACAATAGCCAAGAGTTAGAATCATCCCAAATGTCCATCATCAGATGAGTGGATAAGGAAACTGTGGTATATCTACACAATGGAATACTACTCTGCTATAAAAAAGAATGAAATACTACCATTTGTAACAACATGGATGGACTTAGAGAAAATTATATTAAGTGAGACATGTCAGGCACAGAAAGAGAATTACCACATGTTCTCATTTATTTGTGGGAGCTAAAAATAAATACATAAACAAACACACAAACAAATCAAGGGTTGGGGGGGAGAAGACAGAATAACCACAAAAATTCCTTGAAGTTTTTAAATCAAGTGAACAGATATGATGGGGGGTAGGGGGGGGTGGAGAGGAATGGGTAAAGGCATGAAAATCATCTACGATGTATATTGAGAAGTAAAATAAAAAATAAAATAAAAAATAATAAATTAACCAGGTCATGTAAAAAAAAACCAAACATTAAATTGTAATCCAAAGTATAAAATAAATATCAATGAGTCCATACTGATATAAATGATCAAATAAGTAAGTGAACAGGGATGGGGAGAGACAAATCTGTACAGAAAATTCTAAATAATTTATGTAGATACTATACCCTCAGTGATGAAGAGCTTTACTTCCCACTTTTAATTGTGAGCTTGTGTAGTGACATCCTTCCAGAGTACAGTATAGAAAGGGGGAGAGGGATGGAGAGGAGAGGAACTTTACAGTGGAGAAAACTGACGTACACTACCTCAGCCAAGCCATCAAGGTTAATACCAACTGTGGTGAGTCACAGCCGATAGTACCTATACTTTATACAATGTGATGAAAACGGCATTTCTATGGTCTTCTTCCTAAAAACCCATACCTTAGACTAATCACGAGAAAAACATCCGCCAAACCCAAACTGAGAGATATCCCACAAGGTACCTGACCACTACTCCTCAAAACTGTCAAGGTCATCAAAAACAAGGAAAGTCTAAGAAACTGTCACAGTTAAGGAGACAAAACAACCAAGTGTAATGTGATTTCCTGGATGGGGTACTGAAATAGTAAAAGGACATTAGGCAAAAAGTAAGGGAAAATAGTAAAAAGACATCAGGTAAAAACTAAAGAAAAACTAAAGTAAAAGGACATTAGGTAAAAACTAAAGAAATAACTAAATCATGAATCTCAGTTAATAATAATGTATCAGCATTGCTTTGTTAGTTGTAGCAAATGTACCGTACTAATGTAAGATGTTAATAATAGGGGAAACTGGGTGTGGCATACAAGGGAACTCTCTGTACTATCTTCTCAACTTTTCTGTAAATCTAAAACTATTCTAAAAAATAACGTCTACAAATACAAATGTAAAAACACACCTAAGACTTGAAAGAAAATTTGCACACACTCTAGGTGCTTCTGATTCCTTCTTTCTCTGTTCCCAGTCTTCCCAGCCAGTTCTACCCAGCTTCTGTTAGGAGGACTTGAGCCTGCTTTCTCATGGTCTTAGTAACCACTGACAGGTGCTAACCCCAGGAGTGATGTAGTCAGACTGGAATTTTAAGTAGAATACTCTGTCCTCTGTGGGATGGGTGGATTGTAGGGTGTGTGGAGACAGGAAGCAAGACAGACCAGCTTGAAGGCTGTTGCATCAGTTCAGGTGAGAACGACCTCAGTCTGAGCTTAGGAGGTATTGGTAGGGATAGCAATAACCTGGCCATTGGTGAGGGTATGGAAGAAGGGGAAGAATGAGGAATGATGATTGCAAATGCAGTATCATTACTCAGGAGAGAGAATACCTAAGGAGGAAATGTGGTGAGTGCTGCTGGGGCTGGGTGGGGAGTAAGAAACGCTAAGTGCCCTTCAGATCTATTGAGTTTGAGTGCCTCAGCAGGAATGCTCCCGATATATCCTCATGCCTGTGGTAAAGTAGCTTTGGATAGCTTGAGAGGTTAAATAGTTGAAGGCAAGCACTTTTAAGAGTTAAGGGCAGGACTTGTCCCAGGAAGGAGACAGCCCCAAGTCCTGATGTGATGGATGGCAGCAAAGGCTACGTAAACATCAGGGAGCCAGGGTGCAGGGCGAGGAGAGCTGCTGCGGTGACTGTGGATCTGTATTTCTCCAGCTGAGTCAGCATTTCTCCAGCTGAGTCAGCATTTTTGGCTTCCACTTTTCCTGCTGGCTCAACCTTCACTTCCTTTAATGACACTGTCACTTTCCCTTCAGAGATCAGTCCCAGGGAGTGCCTCCTCACCCCACCTTGCCTAGTTCTGATTCCATTGCTTTTGTAAAGTCTTCCTCAGCCAAGCAGGCAGTCTGTAAGATTCTTAGATATCATGAGAACATTTTATAGAGAGAAAACCCAGGGAGGAAATCCTGGGGTTGTTTCCAGGGAAGTGAGCATGAGCTGCAGTATTTAGCTTGGCACTGTAAACACACAGATGTGTGAATTGTTCTTAGTCCACATCCGAAAAGACAACCTATCCTTGACTCTATCTGTACTTGCTCACTTTTTAGCCAAGAACTGTGAATAAAGTCAATAACCACAGTAGTATATTTTCACTGATGTAATCTGAATTGTCAATTTTTTTCACCCTGATATAGGATATCTCCTAAACCTATAAAAGTGTCAAGGGCAAGGAGGGGATTGGGATTGATTTTGCTGCAAGTCATTCAAATGTCTTTTCTATATTAAAATCACAGTTTCAATGTAATAATCTCCAATTATGTCACTAAGAGGTTTTCTAGTCCTGAATTTACTCATTTATTCACCAATTATTTGTGGTACCTACTGAACCTTATGAAAGGAATCTTTCATGAACACATGATGGTTCTCCCTTTGTTTCTGTCTTTCTCTACCTCCCTGCCTTTTTCTCTCTCCCTAATTATGTTTCTCATTAATGAAATGGGATATATTGAAAGGTAAAGATCTATTCTAGTTCTTCACTTTTAATACACATTTTTAAATAAACTTGTCAATTTCTATAAAAATGTCTATTGAAATTTTGAGTGAGATTTCATTGACGGAAAGTTTTAGTGGAATTTCATTTCTTCTTTCATTTCTCTCATTAATATTTTTAAGTTATCAGCATATAAATCTTGCAAGTATTTTCTATTTTCATCCCTAGTCACTTCATGTTCTTAAAAGCAATGTATATGGTATTTTTATTTGATCTCTTGATTGTTCTTGATAATGTATAAAAATACAATTGATGTATGAACACTGACGTTGTTCTCTGTGAACTCATTAAAGTCACTTAATAGGCTGAATTACTTTTTGAAGATTTATTTTATTTTATACACACATGATCATATTGTCTAAGAATAAAGACAGTTTTATTACTTTTTTTTTTTTAAATAACCCAGATGGAGCCTCTAAACCTTGTTGCCTTCCCAGGCCCCTCCTGCACGTGAGGAGCTGAGTCAAGTGCAGGGCTGAGCTTGGCCATGGGCTAGGATCGATGTCTGTGTGGGCGGTGAGAGGCGGTGTTGGGCTGAGAAGGGTAGATCCTCTTCTCCCCAACTGGAATAACTTATCCCCTCTTCATGACAAGCAAGTGTTACTCTTAGGTGCATAAGTAAAGTTGTTTTCATTTTGGTTTAGTTTGGAGTTTGTTTCTTTTTCAGAAGCTGCTGAATATATTGAGTGATTTGCAGTGCAGAATTAAAGAAGGGTTCAGATGTCTGTTCTCCTTTGAGAACTGGCTAACAGAGTCAACTGGAACCATTAACCCACACATACATTTTTATGTGGTGAGAGATGGAGGAGGAAAAGACAGAGAGAATACAGGATCCCCGGACTTCCAGGATTTATTATGTATTATTGTACACACTCACAGATTTAGCCATATCACTGAGGGTGCTGTCAGAGTTACTATAGAAACAACCGTCCCTCAGGCAGAGGCTCCGATCATCTGAGGTTGGGATTGGGCTCACTGGGGGTGGGTGCTGGGCATTAACTTCCTCCCCTCCACCTCCAACCCCGATGAAGAGACATGCAGAGGGGCAGGGACAGGTAGGTTCACAGAGGTGGGCCACCCCCTGAGGTAAGTGGGCTGGTGGCTCTCTCTTCCCTGTGTGGGATGGTCTGAGGGCCTCTAGGACATGGGAGTGGTTACTTATGTTCGATTGGCTACTGTACCTCCTGCTTCAGGTTCTGCTGCTCAGCGGGGAGCAAGATTTCAAGAGGGCGCTGAACTGGCTGGATCTCTTCGTTCTGGCCAGGAGTTGGGACAAATACAGGCTGCTCCAGCTGCCCCTCCTGTTGCTCGGATGGCACTAGAAGCTGCTCTTCTTTCTTTCCCAGTTGCTCATCTCTCTTTGTGAGCTCTTGATCTAGATGCTGGTCCAAGGGCTTCTTCTCTTTTTCCAACTGCTCCTTCAGCTGCTGATCCCTTTGTGCTTTCTTCTGCTCAAGTTGTTGCTCCAGGTTTTCTGCTTCCTGATGTTCCCCATGTTGTCCCTGTTGCTGCTGCTGCAGTTCTTGCTCTTGTGACTCCTGCTGCTGCTTCCGTTCCAGATGCAGTTCCTGTTCCTGTGACTCCTGCTGCTGCTGTTCCAGATGCAGTTCCTGCTCCTGTGACTCCTGCTGCTGCTGCTGTTCCAGATGCAGTTCCTGCTCCTGTGGCTCCTGCTGCTGCTTCCGTTCCAGATGCAGTTCCTGCTCCTGTGAGTCCTGCTGCTGCTGTTCCAGATGCAGTTCCTGCTCCTGTGACTCCTGCTGCTGCTTCCTGCAACATCATGGCACAAACCCTGGACTGGAGTCACATGATACATTCTGGGGCTAAATCTGCCCCTGAAATATGATGTGTTTCTGGGAAAGTCAATTAGCTTCTCTGCGCCTCAGATTTCTTCTCTGTAAAATTAGCAGGTTGGCCTATTCAACTCCAGAGATCCTTTCTCTCCTGACCTTCTTTCTTTCTCTACTGACTAAGCATTATCTGCAGTCCCAGTGCCTGGGGTGGGGGACAGGTGGAGCTGGAAGATTGCTGAGAACTGGAGCTTGTCCTTTCAAGTCCTGCAGTTCTAAGTTGGGTTTTCTTACCCCTGCTCTGCCTGGGTTTCCCCGAATAGAACACTTTCTTCATTCTGCAATCCCCACTTTTTCACCAAGCCAAGAGTTACAGCATTTCCTTGAAACTCTGCCCCATAAACAAGGCAAAATCATGAACACCCCAAATCAGAGTTTCAGGAAAGAAATTGACTGCTACTCCCCCTGCTTCCCGCCCTTGGTTCTCTCTTAAAATACAGTCCCAAGAACAGATGGGCCATGAGAGAACTACTCTCTGTTCTGTGTCTTTATGCCGGGGCACATTTCCCTCAGTGCAGTGACATGAGCCCCCCAGAAGGACAGGTCCAGCTGAGTCCAGCCCCACAGTAACACCCACACCTACCCAGGCTGGCCACCTGGGCCATGCCCTGTCCTGTTGGAGGCTGCCAGTCCCAACCCTAGATCTGCCAGCTGACACTTACCAGACTAACAGTAGGGACCGAGGCGGAGGCTTCCAGTGGAGTGCTGAGCTGAGCAGAAGCCAGAGCACCCTTTATACCGTTCCCCTGCCTGGCTTCCTTCCCAGATTGAAGGCGATAGACTGGTTTCACCACTCAAGTTGGTCAACTTCCTCCAGCCCCTTCCTGACTCACCACAGGCATCTTAAGCAGCAAACCCCTCAGGGCCCCCTTTTCCAGGGATACACAGCTCCTGCCTGGCCAGAGGCTTCTAGAGGGCCCGACTACTCCTGTGATGCTCATGTGACCTGGTACAAGGGAGGGGATAGAAGAGATGGAAGTGAGAGAAGCTTTCTTCTGTTTTGTGGCCTCAGCCAAACTTCTCTGAATCTCAGTCTCTCCAGCTGTAAAATAGGTCTATCCTAAATACTAAGCTAAGGGATTCATTTCCAAGG